AAACTTAGAATGATATGAAACATCTTATGAGAGAAAATTTTGTTAATCCATCTCTTGTAATTAATTCAAATAATGGGGTGCATCAACTAGATCAATCTCTTGTTATTCCTCCTACTATGCCTAACCTTTTGCAAGACAATGTACAAAAGAGCGAGGATGACGTGACATAAAATGAGATGCTCCCAGCCTTATGTGAAAATTTAGAACCATCAACTATTACTCCTGCTAAACATGAGAGCAAAGGTAATGCCCACGATGCTAAACTCATGGACGGTGAGAGTTCTCTTGATGTGCTGAATTTTTCCACCAATCATGCTATGATAGAGCAAATTTTAGTGGAGCCTTCGCTTGATTTACCTTTGTCACAAGATGATTTGGTTGATGTTTCTTGTGACGAAGATGACTTGCATGATGATATTTATGGTATACCCATGCAATCATTGAAGAATGATCACGCTATATGTGTGCTGAAATTGAGCACTTGTGCTACACATAGACTTGTTATTCATAATGCTAGTGAAGCTGATGAGCTGAAATTGTTGTCTTCTTTAAATACTTTGGGTTACATTGAATTTGATGTTTTGTGTAATCTTAGTTCTTTAGAGGAGAAACTTTATGCATATACTGATTTGCCATAGTTCTCTAGACATACATATCATGTTTTTGGTAAATATAACAACCAAGGGCAATATTTGATACAACGAATTTACATTTGTACAAATCCGAATTCTCCTTTTATTATGTAAAGTAATGATCAACTAGAGGACAGTAAAATCAACACCGTTGTTATGCCATATTCCTCTAGTTTTGCTTATCGAACACAAGTGGAATTCAAATAAAGGGAGCATATGTTTCTTGTTAGTACTAATCTTTTGTAGGATGGTATTGGCAAAGATCGTGTGTATTTCAATCGAGCAGACTACATGTATGTAGGACAAGACATGCTACAAACCTGGACATATGGTCATATTCTTTCTCACAACATTGTCCATTCCTATTATTTTGGAAACCTTGTTTGTCCTCATGTTGTGCAGGATTGACTTCAAACAAAATCGACGCCAAGGACGGCTTTTCATCCAGAAAGGGAGGATGATGAGGACATGACCTCCATACATATGACCATGCTTGGAGAACCATATGGAGACCAAGGAGATCAGCGAGGGTGTCCTAAGCGAGAAGGGGGCCTGAAGCTCATCCGGTTCGAGTCACCAAGGTGGAGGCCCAAATCAAGTTCGAGTCCATCTCGGCCTCTAGGACCAGTCTGTCTTAAACTAGTCACATAGGACGCATCCGGACTCCGTTTTCGACGATCCACATATGGATGGAAAGCTAATTTGATAAGGAAGCCAACCCAAGTGGTCTCACATTAAAAGCTCTTCGAAATCAATGGGAATCATCGAAACAAGTCAGCGTCCAGAATCTGCCAGGGTGCTGCGACACCGTATTTTGGTCTGTTGGACCATGTACCGTGTTTGGGCCCATTAGGGGGCGCGTCCAGGGGGGTGACGCCCAAGACTCTACATTTAGCAGCCGTCACTCTCCTTAGGGTTTGGGTTTTGTTTAGTTCTTGATTTCCTCGTGAAACAGACATCGTTTTGCTACAACTGTCGCCGCCAAGGCCGCTTGCTGTGAACCAGGGCCCCAGTTCTTGATCTTGTTCGCCTGTGGCGATTAGTCCTTTTGAATAAAGACTTGAACTCCTTCTTGTCTTCATAAGCCTCATATTTATTTGCAATTTCAGATTGCGTTCATCTCGTTCTTACTTGTGTTCTCGATTTGCTTGCAGGAAAGCCTTCTCGGCAAGGTCAATCGCGTTCGCGTGGTTGATAACCAACGGAGCAGTGGCATAACGGTTGCGGGGGTCCAAATCAGTCTTGGTTCGAAGCCTAGATCATGAACGTCGAGTCTCCACCAATCGACGCTATCATACCTTTCGAAAGATCGGGCCTAGTCTACATCACGATGCCCATAGAATCCTCCGTCAAGCGAAACAGGAATCTTCGAAAAGTGACGAGCAGGAAGAAAGAGCCATCAGGGGAGGGAAAGGGGTGGTGTACTGGTGATTTGAGACGTTGGCGTATGCCATCCTCGAACTCCAAACCCAGATCAAAATCTAGGCGTGCGGCCAGGTCCGAGGAGGTCCCCATGTCTACCAGGCGTTCACCAATCAGGGAGTCCTAGAATCCGTTGTGGTCATGGTGCTGGCATGAGCGTTGGGACGTAGGGCATGTCACGTCGGCATAGGCGAGGGCAGGCAGCCGTAGGGCATGACGAGGAGGCGGCACAGATCAGGCTGGCCAACCAAGGACGTAGGTGAGGAGCGCCAATGGCCCTAAGGACGGCACGTGCGGCGGTAGCGTTGGGGAGGGCCGGAGCTGTTGCGGCTACGGTAGGAGGCGGAGGCGGGGCGTGGATGGCCAGCTGGCGTGGTTGTGTAAGGCCTTTTCACCATGAAGAGGATTATCAATCTAGAACTCTGTTCACCCTGGATGAGAATAATGTATAATCAACAACATCGTTGGTGCTAACTTTGCTCCTTGACAACTTTTTATTCTGGGTCCTAGACTTCAACACTAACAAACTCAGCTACCTCACTATTATCATATCAGATTTTGACCATTCTAATTCAAAGTTAAAATCTAGGGCTCAAATTAACTACAACTAGAAAAATCATAAACTACTCTAGTATGATCTGCACTTAATGTTTTTCTAGTGTGTTTTAGCTTATCCTCAATCCAAAAGATTTTAGCAACCATCCAATCCCATCAACAAGCCTATAGCTAATCTAGGGAAGGAAAGATTACACAAACAAAGCACAAAGCAGAAGCTATGAACATGCTAAGTAAAGAGTTGAGGACAGAGAGTGCAAACTCACAAAAATTAACACAATGATGTATCACATGGTGTCGGCTGACAAATCGTAACCCCTACTCTACATTGGAGCTCCACCGATGTACCCTTCCAATCACCAAGTCTATTCCAATCACGATGTCTACTCGACCAAATTAAAGGCAATGGAGCTACACCAATCTCCATATGCCACCTTATCCCTACTACTGTGTTGGACTGCCACACAAGGCCTCTGCCAACCAAAGACGGTGTCGTGAATCACTCAGTCTCACAATTCTCACCACTGTCACCCAATTTGGTCAAGGTGTCAAATACAAACCAAAGATAGGTGTGAGTCACACAGTCTCACCACCTCCTCCCGATTGTAGACACCTTGAAACCATGTACACTACATAGTTTCTCTACACGAGGGATGGGATCTCCTTGTCCCCGACACACCAATGTGCAAATGCTCCTCACTAAGAAGAGAGAGTCGCCACATCAAAGGCCACCAAGCATTCACCGGAAGGTCACAAAGACCTCAAAGGATCGGTATCGCTAATATACAAGGGCAATAAGGCCCAATCATTCAAAGCTCTCAAGCTCTAAAGACTAAATCTCACAGGGATAGATGGCGAAAAGGCATGTAGTCTAGTGGTTACAAGAGTGATCAGTAGCACCTCAGGTCTTGGGATCAACTCCACGTGGGAGTGAATATTCAATGATTTAACAACGTTTTGCTTTCAGTGGTAGGCGACGTTCTTATCGACAACGAGGCGCCTGTGGTGACTTTGTCAACCTCAATCTCGAGGATTTGTCGGCCCAGTCTTAGAAGAAGCTCATAGGGATAGTGTTTGCGTGCGCGTGCGTCCATAGAGGTGAGTATTCGTGCGTTGTGAGTATCTATGTTGTACTTTATAATTTTTTAAAAAATCTCACCAGGATGCACTATAGTGTTCAACCTAGCCTTTGATGTGATCTCTCTCGTTGCTCAACGTGCAGTTTGTAAATTAATTATACAAGGTGTCTTCAACAAAAAAGACTCATTTTTGGGTGTCGCTCAATGCACGATGGAGGTGGAAGTTGACTATATAAATAATTCAAATTAAATCAACTTCTAGAATTGTCCTAAGTCAAACTATTATAGGTTTGACCAACATTTGTGACACCAAATTAGTATCATTAGATATAATTTGGTGTCATATATTTTAACTTTTTCAATAAAATTGGTCAAACTTAAGATAACTACATGAAATATATTTTTTATAATTTACTTATTTGGTGTTATAGATGTTGTTAACTTTTTCAATAAAATTGGTCAAATTTAAGATGATCCATAAATTGATTTGTTTTGGGATGGATGGAGTACGTTTATTCCTCGCTCTCTCTCTATTTTGCAAAGGACATTTATTCCTCCTTTGTATACATAGCATCAAAATGTAAATATCAAGGATAATTTTAAAGAATCAATTAAGTCATAGCAACATACCCGCGGCCATTATTATACATTCATATATGCTAGCTCTAAACCCGTAGCAAGCACGGACATCCAAGGCCCACAAGTAAAATACAGGCCGATTGGGTTGCTGCGTGTGCAGCCCACATGTCAGCCTAGCGGCGTTTGCTGAAAGGTGCGCACTTGCAATGTGTCCTAAGTTCTAAGTCCTAACGGTAGTCTGTCTTCTCTCTGTGCAGTTTCATGACTAACGAAGTCGTTGCTACGCTGCTTGCATGATTGAGATCATGAAGCAAATTGTATTTAATTTATCGAAACTCGTCATCATCAATCGATTAAAATTTGGTTAAAAAGGGTATCCAGATTCCAGAGTGATTCGTATTCGCTCGACGATCCGTTTGTTAATTGCGCCGATAATGCCGGTTGCCGGCCTCGTCTGTTGATTGCACGCTAAGCTCGTGGACACGTACGCATCATGCCATGTTCTCACTCATTCGTCATTCCCTCCCTGCTCGTTGACTTGTGATAACAAACTTCTCCATCCCATATATATATATCTTATATGATCACGACGATGTTGACCCAGATTATACTCACGACACGACGACACGCTGCTTGCCTGCTTGATCTATAATTCTGACGCACAACTGGCCAGACCTGTCCACCTAACCAAAGTCGTCATCAGGTCGGTGACAACCAGCTCATGCATGTTGCCATGGAGGTAGTGCCGGCGGCCCTCCTCGTGCTGTGCCTCTGCCTCTGCCTCTGCCTCTGCCCCGTCGTCTCTCCCGTCGCGCTCGTCGTCCACGGCCAGCTCGACACGCTGGGCTTCATCAGCATCGACTGCGGCATCGCGGAGGGCGCGGCGTACGCCGACCAGTCCACGCGCGGCCTGCGCTACGTCTCCGACGCCGGGTTCGCCGACGCGGGGGCGGGCCTCAACGCCGCCGTCAACCCGCCCTACAACGTCAAGGGCATCGCCGACCGCTACTTCCCCGACACCGCCGGCGGCAGAGGCGCACGGAGGAGCTGCTACACGCTCCGGCCGGTGACCCCCGGCGGCGGGTACCTGGTGAGGGCCACCTTCTACTACGGCAACTACGACGCGCTCAACAGGCTCCCCGTCTTCGACCTCCACCTCGGCGTCAACCGCTGGGTCACCGTCAACGTCACCGCGCCCGGCGCCATCTACATCTTCGAGGCGGTGGTGGTGCCGCCCGCAGACTTCTTTCAGGTGTGCCTGGTCAACCGAGGCCTGGGCACGCCGTTCATCTCCGGGCTTGATCTGAGGCCGCTCCAGGACGACATGTACCCGGAGGCCACCGTCAACCAGTCGCTGGCGCTGCTCAACTTCCGCCGGCCGACGGCGACATACAGCTTCAACCGGTACCACTTCTGGCGCCCGGGCAGTACATATCCTGTGTTCCGGTGAGTATATATGGTCGTCCATGACGCAATTTTAATTTGCCGCTAGTCAAGCTTGAGCAACAAAATGGTCACATACCATTACCAACCTCACCTGATTTTTCAATCCATGGATTAATCTGAATTAATTTGTTCTATTCAGACTATAGGGAAAATGCGTCGTAAAATTCCTTCCACTGCAAACGTATTTTGTTGACCATGCATGTATAGTTGATCTACAGTGACCATGCGCAACTATACAGGAGTTGGCATAAACTGCAAGCCAAACTGGTACACAGTGATGATATCACGCCTTAGACTTAAAGCACACAGGTTAAGTACGTGAAGGGGATCTGCAAAATGGAAATTGATCGATAGCTGACTATTGACCATAATAAGGCTCGTATGATCACGAGGAATAGAAAACATATGAATAGGAAAACGGCAAGGCTACATATCGGATTGCATTGCAATAGTACTGAAAGCACACAATAGTCAAAAGTTTCATTCGGATATGTTAAAGAAGTAGAACACGTAAGATTTAAATGGTATATGGGTTAAGCAGAGACATACAGGACTGGAAAGGTGAAACGTTGCTTCCGACAACTCCGAAGAAATTTCAGGATCAGCTTAGACTAGCATCATCACCTTTGCCCTATAAATACTAAATAGTGTGTGATAAGAAACTTTTCCACAAAATTTCTTTAAGTCAACTTCCTCCAAGCCGGCTGTTAGGATGCCATTCCATTCATTTCGATTGGACTTCTTCAGCATTCTCCCGTTTTCAGTACTTTCCAAAAGGGCTCTAAGTTATGGTTTGATTCTGATTCTTAAATCAGAGTCACCAAAACTTTCTGAAAAAGAAAACTCACCAGATCTTCTAAAACAACTATGGCTCTGACTGAAAACTCATTTCCTCTTCCAATGTCAAACAAGCTACAATTCTGCATTCAGTTCTCTGTTGCTGCGCCCTAGTAGTTTTTGTTAGGGTCTTCTGCATAAATTCCAGCACACTTTCATCAATTTTTTTCATTATGGTCTTTTCCAAACAACAGGTACCCATTTGATCCATACGACCGCTCTGGCAGGCCTATGGCGACATTGATGCATGGACCAACATAACAAGCTCAACACCCATCGACGTCTCCAACATCAGCAGCTTCCATACGTCATCCAAGATACTGTGGAGTGCCACCACTCCAGTGAATGGAACCCAGATCGACTTCGCATGGAGCCCGGATTCCTCCATAAACAATGACAGCACATCATACCTCCTGTTGCTGTACTTCGTAGAGGTGCAGAGGTTGCCAAGCAGTGCAGTGAGGCGGTTTGATATCCTTGTCGACAACTCTACATGGAACGGCAGCCAGCGCTACACCCCGAAGCACCTTTCTGCTGAGCTTGTTAAGAGGATGGTGCTGGGGTCAAGGCAACACACTGTCTCGCTGGTTGCCACACCAGATGCGACTCTTCCACCAATCCTGAATGCATTCGAGATATATTCAGTGATGTCAATGACTGAGCTCGCAATGAATGATGCAGATGGTATCAGTTTTGACACTTTACTTTTGCCCAAAATGTTTTCAGTCAACCTGCATCCACCAGCATCATGTTGTGTTCAAAGAATCATGGGATGGGCACATTTTGATTGCAAGCTGATAGGGTGCATAACTTCTTGCATTGACCTGTTCATTTGATAATTATGTCAACATATCTCAACTAAAATTTACAATCTCAATTTTCAATGATCTGGATGTCACAAAGCATGACTTCAGAATTACTTTATCCAAAATTCAATCAACATAGCTGGGTTTCTGCAGTGATTTGTCAAGCAACAAACTCAGTGGACCGGTTCCAGCTGTTCTACTACAAAAACATCAAAATGGATCTCTTGTCTTAAGGTTTGCATCACGTAGCTGACTTCCAGAGTTCATTTAATCCAAAGAGGTTCTTTTTTTTGAGGGATTACGCAGTTCCTCCTAGAATGATCCATGGACAAGAAATTGTAAAAGAAACAACTACTATACTTGAATCAAATAAGTAAAGTCACTACTTTCTCTCCATTTAACCAACTCAATGTGTTGCGCCAATTCTAGGATTGGGAACAATGCAAATATGTGTAACAATGGTGCTTCTACCTGTGAACCAGAGAACAAGAATGGCAACAGAATACTTGTCATCGCAATAGTTGTCCCAATAGCAGGAGCGACACTACTATTTGTGGCGGCACTTCTTATCCTTCGTAGACTGAAACATAAACAAGGTAACATTCAATAAACTAAACCACAAAATCTGTATTCACTGAAGGTTGTTCATATAAGCTGTGGTTTGGCTCTAGTTACATGGACAGCAAACAATTCAAGGCTTCCTAGCCCTCAAGAAAGGTCGACTGCATTTGGAAACAGACAGTTCACCTACAAAGAGTTAAAGCTCATGACAGCTAACTTCAAAGAAGAAATAGGGCGAGGAGGATTTGGTGCTGTATTCCTAGGATATTTGGAGAATGGAAGTCCGGTTGCTATCAAGATGTGTTCAAAAACATCTCAAGGGGATAAAGAATTTTCAGCTGAGGTAAGAAATTCAGTTGAACTTACCTTCTGTGTGCACTTGAAAACTGAAATAATTGACCTTATTACGTGTTTCAGGCTCAACACTTGACTAGAGTTCATCACAGAAACCTTGTTTCCTTGATTGGATATTGCAAAGACAAGAAAAATCTAGCCCTTGTCTTTGAATATATGCAAGGTGGAAACCTAGATAACCGTCTAAGAGGTGTGGTAGCACCTCTTGAACTCACATGGGAGTTTCAGATAGCTTTGTCAAACACACTTTCAGACTTTCAGAACATATGACAAAGAACTTATGGGGATATTTGGTTGGTTATGGTTTCAAACACAGTCAATTCAACGAGACCAGTTTACTTATCTATTGCTACCATCATGGTGTAGTTAGGGGCCCTAGTTCTTCTGCAAAGGCACATTATGAGTTCGTCGTGCGAATGAGAATCGATTAACTTACACTACTGTCTAATTTCACCAATGAACCACATGCTATTATTATCATGATTTTGCACAAACCTTTCTATAACCAATTTGTTATGATCATACATCACAGGCCAGGTCTCTGCTGTTACACCCCTCACTTGGCATCAACGTCTGAAGATTGCTCTAGACTCTGCCCATGGTTTGTAAGCCTGTACACACCTAGTATTAACATAGTAAATTAGTAATAAGAGATATATCATGTATCATGGTAGACTGAACTTAAATGCATGTACTATCCAGTTAATTATCCCAATCAAATTCACCAAATGCTTAACCAAATGCAGGATTGGAGTATCTACATAAGGCATGCCAACCACCACTGATCCATAGGGATGTGAAGACGACAAATATTCTGCTGTCTGCTGATCTAGAGGCGAAGATATCAGACTTTGGGCTCATGAAGGTGTTTGCAGATGATTTCAATACCCACATCACAACCCAACCAGCGGTACCCTAGGGTATCTGGACCCTGAATACTTTAACACATCCCAGCTCAGTGAGAAGAGTGACGTGTACAGCTTTGGAGTTGTGCTACTTGAGCTCATCACAGGACAGACACCAGCAGTCCGTATCACTAGCACCGATAGCATCCACATTGCACTTTGGGTGCGTCAGAAGCTCTCAATGGGTAACGTTGAGAGCATTGTTGACCCAAGGATGGGAGGAGAGTATGATGTCAACTCTGTCTGGAAAGTTGCAGAATTGTCTCTGCAGTGCATAGAGCAGCCATCGCGGGAATGGCCAACAATGACTCATGTTGTGATGGAGCTCAAGGAGACCTTAGAGCTGGATGCCCTACATGGAATGGGATATTACAGCTCAGAGCCGAGCAGCACAGTCAATCTCAGTGCAACTAGTGTTGACTTGCAGAGTGATGCACAAGCAAGTGAAGCAAGACAGGAAACTATGCTTGAGTTGGAACAGGTCGGCAATATATCAGAAACTCAAATAGGTCCTGCGCCACGATGAGATCAATCTTTCAAATTGTATGGTTAGGGTCCAAGAATTCAAAGAATAAGTCAAAGATGCATCAGGATATTGTATTCATCATGTTATTGAGCTGTTAAATCAAGTGACTAATTGCACACATCTCCATATATGGATGCTGGATGATTACAATAGAAATTAAAGATGTAAATTCGTTAGTGGAGCTTTCGCATTCTCTAAAAGGAATTCAGGAGTGGAGCTAAATCTGTAGAAAACTTGTTTGCTGATAGCTCCAAAATTGATGCAAGCAGTTTAACGGAGATAGGGAAGATAATCAAGACCCAAAAACATCTCTACAGATTGCTATGATTCTTGGGTATATAAGCATTGCCTGATGTAAACAAGTTTTCTAGTCTCTAACTCTAAGTATATACTCCCTCTATCACAAAATAGAAGTCGTTCTCACTTCTCAAGAAGTCAACTTTTATTAACTTTAACCAATTATATACAAAAGAATATTAATATTTATAATACATTATTAGTATCATTAAATAGATCGTTGAATATACTTTCATAATAAACTTATTTGGAGATAAAAATGTTGTACGTATTTTCTACAAATCTAGTCAAAGTTGAGAAAGTTTGACCTGCACGCATCCGTAACGACTTTTATTGTGGGACGGAGGGAGTATGATTATAGAGAACACGGATTAAATTGACAAAGCATATAACTGAAGTGAACACTAAACGGAATAGTTCAGCCATGTTGGTTCCTGTTCACAGACTGTCACCTTTATTTTCCAAATAAAGGTGAATAACAGAATAACTACTGCAGAAGGCAATCAAGGCACTATACTATGCAGCAGAAATAAACACCAAAATTATCAATAACTGGCATATACCAAACCGCTGATGATGCATATAGCAATAGCCATTTTCGCAGATGAAGATACACCTAGCCATTAACCAAAGCATCTTAAACAATAAGCCTCCATTGAGCCCATATATAGTGATGCATAAAAGATAACTGAATAATCAAGCTGAGATTCCTAAAAAAACAAACAAATTGATAATGCGGGAATGGCATGCCCGACGAATGAGCATCCTAGAGAGATATCGATTCAACGCACCTGCGAATCATCTTGCTCGCATCACGGCATCGTACGACGCAACAGTTGGGAACTAGGGAAGTTCCCTTTTTTTCCCGCAGTTAAGCCGCGACGAGGTCCTGGATATCTCTGAGTTGGCTCAAAGCTCACCAGCAGCGGCGGAGATGGAGGTGGGCAGGCGGCACTGGATCGAAGGGCCGCAACCGGGGAGACGACCCCGGCACCCACGGAAGTGCGGGGGTTGCCGGCGCCGGCGACGAGCCTGCCTGTAGGAACAAGTGGTCTGGGTCGGGCTGGGCAAGGCCGTGGGCAGTACCATTTTTTGTTTCCGGCCTCACTAGAGATCACGTGGCCCAAAAGGCCCACGGCAAGATCTTGGTATGGAATGCGAGATCAAATCAAGGCGGTACAGTATATACTTCATATCTTTTTTTCGAACTTGGTATCTTTAATTAACGGTCCATCCTCGATCAATTGCTTTTCTTTGAATGACAACAAATGAATAAATTTTTAGAAGCAAGTCTTAAATGCTACGTATAGGGCGGCCATCCGGACGGGCCTGCGCTCGCTCGTTTTTCATTACGGTATCCGCGTCCGTCGCTTCCGTTGTGCCAGTTGGATAAGGAAAGGAGAAGGAGACAAGAGACCTGCTCCGCATGTCGACGGTGACGCCGCCTACTCCTGCTCGGTCGGCGGCCCCGCTGCTCCTGCTCTACGGTCCGCTCCGCCGTCTACGGTCACCCCGCACTGCTCCTTCCCCTGCTCCACCGCGCCGCCCGCTGCTTCCTGCCGCTGCTTCTACTCTGCGGCCCACTTCGCTTGATGGCACGGGCACCACCACGCCCACGCGTAGTGACCGCTCCCTCGGTCGCCAGCTAGCCACTGAGGCCGCTATGCAAGGAGAAGTGTTGGGCACTAGCGTGGAAGTCCTCCGGCCTCGCCTCTTGCTACGGCTGCGATGCCCTGATGCAGACGACGGAGGAGGCCGCTCTGATGCATGTTGCAAGTGTATATTTCAAATATTTCAGATGTTTTAGAGGTTTGCAAGTGTTTCATAAGGATGTTGCAAAAGTAGATCGGGATGTTGCACATTTTACAATGGGCTATACACATATCTTTCAAGTGTATGTTCCAAATGTTTTATCTGTTTTAGATGTATGTTGCAAATGTTTCATTTGGATGTTGCAAAACTAGATCGGGATGTTGCATATATATACAAGTGTTTCAAGTGTTTTTATACGTATGTTGCAAGTGTTTCATCTTGATGTTTGCAATGGCTACACACGTGTTTTTCAAGTTTTTCCTAGTGTGTTTGCAAGTGTTTCAGACGTATATTGCAAGTATTTCAGCTGTTTCAGATGTATGTTGTAAGTGTTTCATTTGGATGTTGCAAAAGTAGATCGGATGTTGTACATGTTACAATGCGTGTGAGAAACGAAGGGGGCGAGCGGTCCTACGCGTGTGGGTGTATTAACCCCTATACCCTTACGGCTAGGTTTGGGCCGCCCCGGACCAGGGGGTCCGGCCCACCAGAAGATGACGCGTGGCCTAGTCGATCTGCTCGGAGTCCCACATAAGGAATCAAGGCAGACTTGGAGATCAAGAAAGATCCTGGTCGGTTAGAATAGGAATCCTTATCCAGCCACCTATGTCAATTGTAACCGGTTAGGATTAGTTTCCAGACGCAGGACGTAGGTATTACGCCCTTACGGCGGCCGAACCTGGATAAAACCTCGTGTCTGTCTTACGTCACCATCTCGTTCGTAGCTTGCGCACCTATCTGCCGATAATCTACTACCTTGGGCATACCCCTAGGTAGACTGCCGACCATATTTCGTCGACAACGCGCAGTCTAGAGGCGCAGGCCCCGTGTGGGCGCGCGAAATGCAACTTGGGTGGGGGCGTGCTGACCCGAGCGTGGAGAACGAAAGTGCAGCACGGGCATCCGGACGTTAGCACTGCGGTACCATGTACCATCCTTTGGAGTTGGCGTGGCCACCTAAAATGTGTGGCTTCACAGCCTGCCTATGGAAGACTTGATGCAATCATCTATATAAATTAAAATATAGATCATGTAAAAGCATCTAATTACAGATAATATCTATATACTCCTAGTAGGGCAATAGGTTTATTTCAACCCTAAATTAATATTAACACATCTAGTACCAAATAAATGCAGAACCGTGACAAGAACGACTTCCCTAGTAAGTTGACGTAGAAAAAAACACGCTCTAGAGAAGCAGGCCCCATGCCACTTCTATGTTTTAGTATGTCAAAAAAATGGTGGTAGTGTGGAGAAGTACATCCATGATAAGCTCAAGAAAACTGTATTGTTTGTCCATAATGTTAGCTTATTTTGACCATAATGGTGGATTAAATGAAAATAATTTTATGTTGATGTGTTGTTTTAGAAAGTGGGTCAAATTTAGATAAACATAGACATAGGACAAACTGAAACACTCTATATATATTATTTAAGAATGGAGGAAGTATAGTTCTTTTTACCACTACTATGGTCAGACCCGACTCTATAAGAATTATAATACTCACTTTCATATCAATGCCGTTAGTTTTATCCTAGATCAAATATTTTAACTTTAATTAAATCTGTACTCAAGCCATCTCAAAGCCATTGTCCTACTTTTCTCCTTTTGGGGCGTTACCATCATCAAATCTATTTTCTATACCTAAATAGGAGAACCCACGGTAGGATTTTCCTAGCTCCGCCTCATGCAACCACGTCATCATCCTATATTCATGGACGGCAAATCCTAATAGCCGCGTTGCAAGTCAAACGTCGCGTTGCCATTCATGCATGCATAGCAAACGCCACTAGGCACGTTGCCATTAAATCGTCGCGTTGTCAGTGAAATGTTTTGCAGTCTCCAGTGTGACTACTCCGCTTCCTGCCTCGGTCCGTCGTTTCCTTTCCATCTGCACCTCACAGAAATCTTAATGGAGACAAGCGAAAATGCTTAATGAAGGCAGGCATTGCAACCGCCTCCAATCAAAGGTCACGGTTAATCGCGACTTTACGGAGGCGGTTGCCCTGTCCACCACGGTTAATAGTTTAATGAAGGCAGGCGCCTTAAGGCAACCGCCTCCGTTAATGATGATTAACAGAGGCGGTTGCCCTAACGTGCCCGCCTACATTAAAGTTTTAACCGAAGCCGTCGCTATAATGCGACCGCCACAGATAAAGTTTTAATGGTGACGGTCTGTTGTTACTTGCCTGCCTCCGTTAATATTTTTCCATTTAAAAAAAATAGCCTCAACAATTTGATTTGAATTTGAATTTGAATTATGTTTTCACAAATCAAACACATATAAAAGCAGAATCAAGACATATATAAACACATATTACGCATATCGAGCACAAACATATAACACATTCATTGGTGTCCTCCATCATCAACCAACATCATTCAAAGTTATTACACACATGCATTATGTCAAACGTTTACACATGTGAAACTAAGATCACCCCGCTAACAACTTTTCCCGGAAAAGAGGTCCGGCAAGATGTAATCCTTGATTTGTAACTTTGTGCTCCAGTTTCTGATCTTCTCGAACTTCGGGTTTAGCGCTAAATCGCTTTCCTTGTTGAACAATGGTCGCCCTTCATGCGCGCACTCTGTGACAAACTTACATATATCTGCTACTGTTTGTCTGAAGCTTTGGTCGACCTTCTCCCTTCGTCACCATCCTTGTGCTTTCTTGAGCTGCTGCTGAATCTGGGGCACGTCCTCAGGTACTCGCAGGCATAAAATCCACATAGAACTGAACCATAGGGTTGTTTGGCGCACTACACGATATATAATACACAATCATTAGAGCATATATAGAGACCAGTAGGAGGAGGACAGTATAGTATAGGAGGAGTAGTTGGTATAGGAGTATAGTAGAGTATAGTAGTAGTAGCAGTTAGGAGTA